TACGTGCATACGTGCATACGTACATACGTACATATACGTACATACGTACATACGTACATTCGTACTTACATACATGCATACATACATACACACAGACACACACACACACACACATACATGCATGTGAGGGCGGGTATTTCGGTCGTTCGCCTCTGGTCCATGTTTGTAGAGGAGATGCAAAGACACATTCGGAGATGCGTAGATATAAGCTCCGTACACATACTCACCTAGACTAAGGAAGCCGGGTCGGCTGTGCTTCGCATAAACGGGATCTATCCATGCCTGGAGAAATGCCCCCAGAGTCGACTCAGAGTTTGAAATGTCCGAACTTCCCGAGCTTCGGCCACCAAGCTTCTGGATGATTTGGTGTTCAGGAACTTCTGCCGAAATTGGGATCCCCACATAAACCCTAACTCCTAAGCCCGAAACCCTCAACACTAAACCCAATCGGCACACGGACGCAGAACTTGGGAGCCTGAGTTTGCTGCTCCGATGGCCCGGAGCTTGTCGGCGATCCTCAAAGCTTAAGGAAGAACGGACATGGTAGTGGTAGAGTGTAGTATGATATATGGTATGGTGTATAGTGAGTCCACAGTGCATTGCGAAGAGTGTATAGAGCATAGTGCATAGTGGGTGGTGCATAGAATATAGTATATGATGTGCAGTATATAGTACATACTTTATAGCAAGTAGCATACAGTATTCAGTTTATTGGTTTGCCATTCTAGAATATGGGACATAGTCTATCGTATAGTTATATCAAAAATAAATACATATGTATATATATATACATATACATATACATATACATATACATATACATATATATATATATACCTGTGAAAGTGAACGCATGTTTATAAATCATGGTTTATACAAACGCACACTTTTGGTAAACGCATGCTTTTAGATGAGGGCTTTGTTTCTTCAGGGCAAGGGTCCCTGAAACCCGCAATGCTTCAGGGCGGCATCCTTGAAGATTCGGTTTTTGCCAGGTCCGAAACCCTAAAGATTATGTTTCAGTCCCACTTTGACTCTTTAGAGCATGATCTGTGGCCTTCGGAAGGCCATATCAAGTTCCTCGATCGAGGGTTTATGCGTGCCAGGGTAGGCTGGCATGATCCGAGAGCTTACAAGGTCCATCCAAATTCAGATTCCATCTTCGACCCACAACCGTATGGACGATGAAAGCCGTTTAGCAGGGTTAGCTATAGCAAAAGGCACGATATAGGATAACTGCTTAGTTGCTAAAGCCTGGCCCTCATGTGCTTACGTGCGCTTCGTCTTTCTGATGAACTTCCCCAACGGTCAAACCGGCATGCATTCGACTGTTTTCTTGGCACTCATCGATCGGCATACTTTGCTGAGCCCGACCCGACGACAGCCGCCAGGTGAGAGGAGCGGATCAGCAGCGCCTGGCGGAGAGATGTGGACAGGTGCACGCCCCTCTGCCCAGCTTGGCTTTGTGCTTGGGTTGATTTGCTATGGGCTTGCACACAGAGAGATTTGTTCGCAGTTGGGGTTCAAGGTCACAGTTGCTGCACACATGGCACAACTCTCTTTCCTGTCATGCTGTGCCGAGTGGGAGAAGCATCGAGTATTGAGAAAGCGCGCGCGATCGCGAAGTATGCTGGTCATAGACTGCAAGAACCGGAACTACATTTCCCCGACCCTCACGAACATGAAATTGAATCATGTGGTTCTCAAGCCTTTCACAGAGGCTATGGCCAAGTTCGGGAGAATCTCCAAACCTATTGCATTGATCAAAGAAGCGGTCCGTGAATTCTACGATTCGGAGTCACAGCCGGTGGAAGAGAAGCCTGAGACCATGGATATGAAGCTTCGTAAAGAAAAGAATATCGTGAGAACAGCAGAGGCAATCAAGGCTATGTTGACTATGATCAAACGAAAGTGGACGCTGTGGGAGCTTCCACGTGTGCCATGGACATACAATAAAAGAAGTTGTCGAGATTCTTGTTTTCGTGAATCGATCGTACACTTGCATGGTCCTATACGGCTATTGAAGCAGGCCTATGCAGCATGCATGTGACACGTAAGGAAGAAGAGCTCCGATTCATGGTTTACGATTTGTCGGCAGCATACACAAATGCATACAACGATGCTGAAGTGAAGATGGCATACGTTTTTTGTGGTAGTATATTCATGCATGCCCTAATTAGTTAGACGGTCTTGCCAGATGTTTGTATGATGCTTCGATGCCTCCATTTGCTCAATTTAGGAAGGTCGTTGCGCGCTAGCCAAGCCACCGAAGAGGTGTGACTCGATCACAAGCTCCGTTGGAGCCGACGATTCCGGGGACAGCATGGGCGACGACTCGTCGCTCCGAGAGAGCCTGCAAGGTGCCCTCTCGAGTCGCAGTGCCAACTCGCCATTGGAGACGTTCTTGAAAGCCCCACCGCAACGCGAGTTGGAGAAACTCTTAGGTTTTTCCCTGGATCCTGCAACATACAAGCGTATCTTGCGGCAACCAGATGGTGAGAAAGGGAAGCATCCAGAACCCCCGATGGAAAGGGAAGCCCTGGCTCCAGCGGAAGATCCGAATTCGGATGCACAGGCCACACTTGACATGCTGAACCTGATCGATGCGGAGGATCCGGTCGAATCGGCCGCGCCGGTCGAGCCCGCTCCGATCGAGCCGGCTGGGCCTGCAGAGCCTACAGCCGTAGCCGCACCTGTAGCCGAGATGCAAACACGCACTCCCGAGAAGCCCCCGGCTCCGATTGGACCCCCGTTGTCCCCTGGAAGCCCTGTCGAGCCTTGTATGCATGCATCATTCAAGTTGCACGGAATGTACCCCTAAAGTTAATATGCACAGGCTTGAGCACATTTTTGGTATGTTTCGTTTTGCTTGCCCAGATGTGCCCTTTAGTGATTAAGGAGATTGTTCACTTCAAGCCAGCGCCGCCCGTCGGTGATACCCCGACACCTTCTACAGGATTGGCTGCCCAGCTTTCATCGATGGACCCGAACAAGTTGCGTCAGCTGTTGGCTATCGTCAACCAGAAGCTTCATGTCAGTTGATGATAGATCGTATGGTCTAGGGATATCCGTGCATGCCTTTCAATACGGTCGGTCCATTTGCTATCATGAGGGGCTTGACTTTCTGAGGTTGCAAGCTTCGGGCAAGAAGGTGTTCGAACCTAAAGAGGATGATGTTGCACGGCGCAAGCTGAACTTTGACACCTCTGACGGTGAGGGATCAGTGGCGTCGACATCAGTCGACAGCACAAGCAAGGGCGGCACGATTGCATGATGTGATATGTTTAGCTGCATGTGCATCTGTCACATGTTCTCTGCATGATAGAGCAAAACCGATGAAAGTATCACGTGCAGTGTTGAGGTTCAGCTCCCGACTGCGTGGAGACGCAGCTGTGGGATGTTCAGCCCGAAGATTATTTGAACGCATGGCTTGATTCTGCACGTGCTGAGCATGCACGTCGGGGAGAAGAGTCCATAGAATCGAAGAAGACAGAAGATCGAGAGAGGGAGGCATTAAAGACTCGGAGGCAAGCAGCAAAAGCTGCAGAGAGGGAGGCATCAGAAACTGCAGAGAAGGAGGCATCAAAAGCTGCAGAGAAGGAGGCATCAAAAGCTGCAGAGAAGGAGGCACTAGAATCTAGCATGGCGGTTGCTCGGATCACGAAGCGGGAGCCTCTGTCAGAGTCGGTCGAGTCAGCTACCAGGCAAGATTGGAACGCCTGCAAGCATAGTTACCATGCATGCATGCATGTAGCCTAAAGCCGAGTCTGCAGAATCGATATTATGCCGAAGCTGCTGTGAACACTTTTGCAGTTCTTCTCTTTAGCTCTGTGCTTGGTGATGCTGTGGTGACCCGAGGCTGCTGCACTGGTGGTGACGCGTCAGGACCAGCTCGGTTTGACGGCCAGGAAGAAGGACAAGCCTGCCAAGCCGGCCACCAAGAATGACCCTGCTGACAAGGAAGCCAAGGAGATTAGGGATCGAGTCGAGGCTCCAAAGCGAGGGCCCGGTCGGCCCAAATCAAAGGCCAAGCCAGCAGCCTCGGGTTCCAAGGACACGGTGCCGAAGTCTAAGGCCAAGGCCAAGGGCAAGAGTGGTGGCTGTGATTCGGAGGCCGAGAAAAAGGGTGGCAAGCCGAAGCCGGGGAGTTTCAAGCGAAAGCTGAGCAAGCGCTGCCTTCTGAGCAAACACAAGAAGTCGAAGAAGGGCAGCAGCAAGGTGGATCCTGTGGACAACGCGACGGTCTACTACGGCGAGGGCACACTCCGAGGGGACGGATTCATTGCCGGTGCGGTGGATAGGGAGCGGCCTCTTTTGGAACGGACGCCGGAATGGACGTCGGAGGAATGGGCCGCATGGCAAGCTGAGCAAGCTAAGGCTGCTCCGAGGCTTGTTCGGCAGAAGCGCAAGCGCACGACGGACGCGGAGCCGAAGCCGAAGCCCGACGAAGAGCTCGACACCAAGGAGCCCCACGAGGACGCGGAGCAGGAGGATGCCATCATCTTCGCGCGCAGGTACTGCCCAGCACGACCGTGGTACAAGGCCAAGTTTCTGGGCATCAAGGAGGCCTACGATTCCCGAATCCGAGCATTCGTGAAAGCCCCTGGCAAAATGGAGGACAGTCTTCATACATGCTGTTAGGTATGTTTTTGAGCTGCTGCTTTCTGCTCGGCAAGTGTTATAATTTGTATCATGCATGCATGTTTCTGTGGTTCTGCAGGACATCTTCTGGAAGTATGTGGCCCAGGCGACAAAGGAGCAGCAGGTTGAAGATGAACAAGATTGGTTCGGCGTGGCTTCGAAGCTTACTTGGCCTTTCTTGCTGGATGACAGTGTGAGTGACTAGTCTATATATTGCATGCAGGCACTCTGCTGTGTTCCTAGAGAGCTGTCATGACATCATATTTTCCAGTCTCTGTGGGATTCCAAACTTGCAGGCAAGAACTGGACCGAACAGGGGGAGAAGCTCTTTGGTGGGGGCAAAAAGCCCACACGCAAGCAGTACGATGCCGCGATTAAGAAGTGCAGAGCTGACTGATGTGTTTATCGAGTGGCATAGCACTGTAGCTGCAGCAGGGGGACCTGGGGTAAAGAACCTCCTGCTTCGCTACGCATCTTCAACTTTCGGCCTCGCCACGCTGATTTTGGATTGCAGGGCAGCCAGCACCTGGGTCAAACTAGACCCACAATCGATAATAGTAGGCTGCATGTGTAACATAGCTGGCCTCTAATGACCTCAAGCCGCATACTGCACTCACAGGGTTGGCTGCCTTTCGATGATCAGAGACCGATCCCCTTTCAAGTTTTTACCGTGTGCTCAGTTCCAATGCAAGCATCGACCACATGCTCTGCAGCCTTCACATGGTATCAAAAAGATCGGAGCCCGTGAACTGCGTGCATTTCCAGCCACCAATACTCAAGGCCACACTCACACACACTGTCTCTCTCTCTCTCTCTCTCTCTCTCCCTCTCTCTCGCGTCTCTTTGTCTGTGTCCATGGTCGTGTCAAGATCTTTCTTGGCATAAAATGAAGTTAGAGTTTCTTGCAGCCGAGAGCCCAATCCAAGACACCTGGTTTAAGCTCCAGAACCTTCGCGCAGGTGATGCCCCCGCGTCGTTGTGATCCTTCGGATGCAGACAGCCAGGAGACTCTCGAGTCAGACTCAGGCACGATCGGAAGGGGAGGCGGTGTAGTTCAGTGCATCCTCAGGAAATCGTGATCTATATACTGTAGGGTCCGATGTGTTAGAGCACCATTACACATGAGTGCTGGCACCCCTGCTTCACTGCCCGGCATGCAAAGCTTGACAAGAGCATGTGATTGGAGCCATGTAAACATCGATCGCTTCCCTAGAGCAACTTCTGGTTCCAGCCGAACCCCGCCGGTCCTCGTGGCCCGTCATGCGACTTTACCGGCTTGTGGAAAACCTGATGGAACTTCAAGCTCCGAAGGCCAGTTGGGGACTTTGGGAGTCATGCCTGTGGCAGTTCGGATCTCGATCGATATATTAGCATCAGCAGACAAACACGTGATCCCGATATACCTGGCCGGTCTCTACACTGCAGAGCTAGATTAACAACTGCATGTAGATGTGCTTGCCTGCTGTACACAGGTCTTCATCCTGGCTGTGCTGTGTTTACTCTTCAACGAGCGTCTCTCCTCCGAGCGGGACTGCACTGCACAGGGGCTTCTCATGTCGGGTCACCTAATGCGGTTCATTCTGTTCGGAAGGAGTTTGTCTTCCTGGAGCATTATGCTGGTCAAGGAGTGATGTCTCGTGAGATCGAGACGAAGCACAAGACGACGACAGCCAAACTAGACATTGAACTTCACAGGGGCATGGACATCCTCTCTCCAGCAGGGTTTGCGTTCGATACTTAGTATACTGCATGCATATAGCAGTGCATAGAACTACACTCAGAATGTTGACTATGATCCAGCTGCACCTGTATAAACCCGGCCGGTAGCATACTTTTGCCCAGGTTGCACATTCTCTCCGTGCTCAAAGGGGGTCGTTCTGGCTTCACATTGTGGCAAGGCTTGCAGTGCAGCAGCTGGGTGTCTATATGTCGAAGCAGCACTAGAAGGTCCTTCCTCAACCCGTGTGGGAACCGAGAAGCCCCTTCTGTAGCCATGGGGAATCAACAGCTCTGCAGGACCCATGCATTATAGTCATATACATGATACTAAATCGACTGTTATTTTAGGTGACTTCTCGACTAAAGTCTAGAAGCCGATAAACCCGAAGAGTTATCATAAACCCTAGCTAAAAACCCAAACCCTGCGAGCCCTCCCAAGCTCTATGTAGGGGCCCTGGCTTTGGCGATCGGATCTGTAAGCTGACTCCTTGCCTCGGTAGGACCATACTCATTTCATTACTGTGCGTGGCCATGCAAGCTAACTGGGTTATCGAACAACCTGGTTCGTCGTTGATTTGGCGTCACCCCCGTTTCCAGTGGCTATGTCGCACCCACAAGGCAAAAGTGTTTGCAAAAAATCCTGCGCGTCCGTAGAATCCACTGGAAAACTATACCGATCGTACAATCCCCAATATCCACTCTCCAACCCTGCAGGTCTATGTGTGCCGATTCTGGATGATGCACTACAACCATGATTGTCCCAAGAGAACGGCTCTGTGGAGCTCCAATCCCAAAGTCTTGAATTTCAACAAAGGAGCACTGACTGCTGGATTCAAGAGCAAGCAGCGAGCTACTCATGGTCATGTTCGGCCTGTAACTCGTACAATTGGAAAAGACGGCAGGGAGAAGTTTACGGGAAATCGTGCGTTGAAGGGGACTCAGAAACACGGCCTCAGTTATGTGGGCATAGTACGAGCTAGGTTACTTTTCTTGCACCTTTTACGCGACGTGAAGCCTAGATCTAAACCCTATAAACCCTAAATGCCTATAAACCCTATAAACCCTCATTAAGATTATATTAAGCCCGTGCTCTTTTCGAATCCCCGTCCCAGGACCTACACTGCAGACTTTGGTCAGCGTATGGCCGAGCTTCTGCCCTCCTTCAACGAGTCCCCGGCATTGCGGCCCAGCTCCATGGTGGATTCCTTGACGGTTGCTAAGCTTCGGGCTATGAGCATGGGAACAGACGAGTGGGCTGATGCTGGTGTTCCAGATTTGTTGCGGTATGTCTATGGGGCTAAGGGTCTGAACATCCCTGAGGAATGGAGGCCCTGTTTCCCCGCAAGTCATTTTGCATAAACGCCTCGATCCGTGCTGCTGGCGCACAGCAAACATGTCCTGCATGTGTGCAAATATTGCTACTTCACGTTGATCCACTAGCTGAACTTAACATCCCATCCTCATGGAGCCTTTGTCTGTGTGTGCCGCACCGACTTACCTGGAGGTCATCACGTGTCGTTTTAATTCGGAGTGCAGTTGTGGCTGCAGATTGCAACCATGTGGATGTTCCGTCAGCCAAGGCTAGTGTCTCGATGGTGATCAGTCTAAATCTTTGTGCCTTGTATAGGATCCTATACCTTATAATTCCTTTAGGGTTTAGGGTTTGCGTGTAGGGGTTATATCATCTCGATCGATCTATATAGAACCTATAGACACGATCTGTTGCCTGAATTTGGGTCTGTATAGTACAGCTAGTAACTTAATTAATTCGAGCTAGGGAACGATTTCGGTTTAGGATCGTAGCTTTTTTAAGAGAGAGAGCGAGAGAGAGAGAGAGAGAGAGAGAGAGAGAGAGAGAGAAAAAAAAAAACAAAA